TATGTTGAGCTGTAGGGGACTCAGGTCAACAATTTCTGACATTGCCAGTCAAGCGGAAGACCCAATACTATTATGGACTACTGGACTCTTTTAGAGTATTTTGCTGAGTTAACAAACCTATAATATTCAAATGACGGAACTAAACAAAAAAGGGGATACAGATGAATGTCCAATTTGTATCTGTGTATTCAAAGAGGTTAGGATAGATATATAGTTATATTCTCTTAATGAATAGAGGGATTTGCTCTAATGGTGTTTGTAAATAGGATATCATGTCCGCATGTTGAACAACAGATAACCACTAGGAAGACAGTATGCAATGTGTTCATTATTGAAACTGTCCTGCCAATTGGATTTGAAACTGTCTCATTGCTATTTGTTTCTCAATAAAATTATGAAAAAATAAAAAACCTGAAAAAAAATGTAAGCAACTATAACCCTAAATACCTTTAAAATATGTGTTGGCATCAGAATAAAGATATTCAATTGGGAAAAAAAAAGATAAATATTCTGAGAACTAAAGCAAAAAAGATCTATTTACAAAGGAAAAAAAAAAAAAAAGAGATAAAGCTATTCGCATCAAGTTTTTTTTCAGCAGGGCACGGTGGTGTACTCCCGTACTCCCAGCACTTAGGAGGCTAAGGCAAGAAGATCACTAGAGTTCAAGGCTAGTCTGGGCTATATGAGTGAGTTCAAGGCCAGGCTTTGGTACATAGTGAGACCCAGTCTCAAAATTTTTTTGAGCAATAAATGGGCATTTTCAAAAAAATTAAAGAGGGGCCTGGGAGATGGCTCAGTGGTCTAAAGCACCTACTTGGAACAAGCTTAGCAAGACACAGGGACCGCGGTTCAATCCCCCAGCACCACATGCCAGCCAGCGCCGCCCCCTGGTGGGCTAAGCTGCCCCCCCAATAAATAAATAAATTTAAACAAAAAAACAAACAAAAAAAAACCAATATGGAGGGGGCCGGGGAGATGGCTCAGTGGAATTAGCACTTCTCTGGCAAGCACAAGGGCCTGAGTTCAATCCCCGGTTCCGCCAAAAGGAAAAAAAAAAAAAAAAAAAAAGAAAAGAAAGAAAACAATATGGAGCGTGGTCTTGAGATTAGAGAGGAGCTTGGTTGAAACCTGGAGCTTGAGTTTCATTTGAAAAGCGGTTGGTGGCCACTGGGAGGAGCCTCTGAGGTCACGAGCAGTTTAAAGGGTATGGAGGGGAGGGAGCGGCGGGGGGGAGCCGAAGATGCACCGCGGAGGGGGCCGGAGGAGCGCTCAGCTCCGAGCAGGACAAAGCCGGGGTTTGACCTGACCTGGAGTGAATTTGGCGCGCTTGTGGAGCCAGCAGGTCGGGCGCCGTCTTCGGAAGGCGCTGCTGCTTGGGCCAGGCAGCGAGCAGGGCCGGCGCGCGGCGCCTCCCGCGCCTAGGGAGCAGGAGGGGGACACCCCGAGGGCGGGCCCAGGAACCCGCGGGGCCCGGCGTGCAGGACGCCCGCGCGGGACTTGCGCCTGGAGCCTCCCAGGGCCGCCGAGGGCGCCCTTCCCGGTGCGGCTCGGACGCGCGGCCGCCCGAGAGGTGACAGGTGCAGCCGCTCCGCGGCGGGCGCGGCGCCGCGGGCGTTCCCGCGCTGGCTGGCTGGCGTGCGTGTCCGCTGCTTAGGTCAGGCCGCGGGCGAGGTTTGCAACGTGCGGGGGCCGCTGCCGTGGGCGACTCCCACTCGCGGCGCGCGCTCCTCTAACGCCCGCCTCTGTCTCGCAGCTGTAAAGGACCTGGCCAGGAGGCTGACGGGACCCCGGCGCACTCTGACCCGCAGGGGAGGCGGCGGCGGCCGGACCAGGGAGCCCAAGGAGGCCAGGTGTTCTTCAACAGCGAGTACGGGGCGCTCCGCAGGCCGCTGGAGGAGGGCGCCTGGGGCCCGCCCGCCGGCTCGTCCTTCCCAGACCGCAGCTACTAAGGGCCAGGCGCCCGCGCGCCCGCTGAGCCTGGCTCTGACGCCCAGGGCAGGTGCCACCTCCCGAGGCCCAGGCTGGGCGTTCATCTCTTTCTTCCCTCAATTCCAGGCAGGAAGGCCCCGAAATTTAGTCCTTGATGTCCTGAGCCCCCAGATGCTGCTGATCCCAGCCACCCTGTCCACAGGTGCTGGCCCTGGGCCAGCCTCTCCCAGGACACTGGCTTGCTGTCACTCCTTTCCCAGCGTGGGTGGGCGACACAGGCCCATGTTCTGAGGAGGAATGCCCGACATGACTGGGGCTCACGGGGCTGAAAGTAGAGCTCCTTTTGCGCCACATCTCCCAGTCTGTGTGCAAAACCCTGTCTCTGGAATCAGCCTCCCCTCCTCTGAGGAAGGCAGCTGCAGAAAGCACACTTTCCCCAACACAGCAGCAAAAAAGAAACTGGGAGTTGGTTGCACTCTGGAGCCCCACCAATGCCTTACTGGTCTTGGGGGTGACCAAGTGCCAGACAGCAAGGCCGAAGGCCTGCTTAAGCACAGAGAACCACCCCAGACACTTACTTTCACTAGAACTGCAGGACTCTAAGCTTCTGTGATGAGTTGTTTTCAAAACTTCAACTGGAAGGAGGCCTACTTTGTTTTTACTGAAACTAGGCAGTTCTTGGCTAGGAAGCTACAGTCCCCATGACATCTCTCTCAGAAGACTCCCAGCCTTGCATGCCAGGTCCAGAATCAAGAACCAACACACAGCCCACAGCAACCCCTTTGGCTTCTCCCCAGAGCCTGATCTTCCACCCCAGGTGCCTCCAAGACTCGAGCAATGTGGGTTCCACCCAGGGACGCTTTGGGGCTGGCACAGAGCCAGTGTGGCCTGGTGCTACACAGTCACTGGAAGATGTTCTGAGGACCCTGGGAGGACCCTGCCCTGCCCTCTGCTTCCCTCTGTGCCCACCCTGGCACTTGTGTCCCCACAGGGGAGTGACCACACCCCCTGGAGGTGAGATCCTTCTGACCAGACCCATTCCAGCTTACACTGCCGAGCCTCCCTGCCAACAGAGCGAGCTTCATCTGAAGCACCACAGACTACAGCCCCCACCCCTGCCTCTTGCGCTTGCAGGACAGGCGCCCAGTGGGTGGGGGCCTTCCTGCAGACCCTCCCCACAGAGCACGTGGCTTCATGACACAGTGGTGCGTGGGTGACTGCTCCTCACTGACCCCAAACTCCTTCCTCTGCATGGTGCAGGCCTCAGGCTCACTGGGGTATGGTCTAGAGGATGCAGTCTCCAAGGACCAAAGCCAACAGTGCAGGTGCAGTGCCCAGCCCCGCGAGCCTCTTGCTCAGCTTCCTCCCTTCCGTAACTACACACACAATGTTGTACTGGGGAAGAATGCCCACTGTGCCCTTGCACACATGTTCTCCGAAAGATCTAAAATATTTAATAAAGATAATAAATCAGACGCCAGTCTGAGTCACCATCAGTGGGTTCTGAGTAAAGGCCCAGAGGTCTTATGCTCTCACCGCAACCTTCTCCAGTGCAGGGAGGCCCAGGCCAGGAGCTGTGACCGAGGCTGTGGTGCTCAGTGTTGGTTCCTGGCTTTGTGTGTCACTGCGCTGATTCTCGGTATTGAAGAGACCCAGCACAGAGCATTGGCGCGACCAGGACATTGTTATCCTGCATTACACCTGGCTGAATTTGGCCACTCTGTGGATGTGTGGCCCACCCAGTTTTCCTGGACAAACACACACACACACACACACACACACACACACACACCGCCATGCCCCACAGAAGATTTCCCAGGGATGAGCTCACATCCTGGACCCCTCAGCCCTACCTTCCACTTCAAGTGCCATAGCCCTGCCCCTACCCCAGTAGCCATGCCCATCCCTCCCAAGTCCCACAGTGCTACACATTTCTGTCAGTCCCCTAAGTAACCTCAATTTGGGACTAGCAGTACCCTCAAGTGTACTGAGGTGATTTTGGCCTGAGCTTGGCAACCACAGCTGCTTTGGAAAAGATCTCTGCAGCTGGAGGCTGGGCTTCTTCCCAGCGCCACAGATGACCCCTGTCCTGGGGTTGTGAAGTCACTTGGGGAGAAGCAAGAACTGGGAGGGAGGTCCTTAGATATGGCAGAGTGGCCAGTGAGGCACTCTCTGGCCTGGAGCACTAGGCAGGAATGTTTCTTATTTTAAAACGGTGGGTTCTGAGAACAGTCAATAGGCTCAGGCTGATATTCATGTTGTGAGAAGAGGTCCAGGGAGTATGGGCCTTCACAGGCAACCCCTGAGGCCTGCAGCAACCCTGGGCCTGCACTCCGCCAGAGCCTCAGCCTCTCTTCTGCAGTTTCCACTTTGCAAAGCTCTCATGGCAATAGTCCAATGCCCACAGTGGCCTTGGCATGACCACACCATGACAGAAGAAGCCTTCACCCCCACCAATTAGTGCCCACAATGGTGTCTGACACCTGTACCTCACTGCATGCTTGCACCCCTCAACTGCCGTATGCACTTAAAGGCCAGGCGACTACATCAGCAGGTCAGGCCTTGGGGGCAACAAAGTCATAAGAGGTCAGTTCCCCAGTAAGAAGCCTGGGAGTTCCTCTGGCCTCATTCTCCTACAGGACACAGGGAGAAGTCACATGTCCAACACCTAGAGGGGGGGCTGCTCACCAGATGCTGCATCTGCTGTAGCCTGGTCTTAGACTTCCCAGCTTCAAGACTGTGGGAAACAAACACAGGTGACTGAAGCCAGGTCTCTGGGTTTGTATAGCAAACCATGAAGCCACCTCCACCCATGCATCCCTCTGCAGCAGAATAAATGTGCACTTTGGTATAGCAGCAAGTACATCTCTGATGGGGAGGGACTGGGATGTGATGGGCCGAGTTTCTGGCCTATCTGGGCTATGATGTCTCCAAGGTCTAATCTACCCATCCACAATCTCCCCAGAAGACAGTGGCTCCCAGTCCTGGTGCCCAGAAGCAGCATAGGACACTGCCAATTATAGTCCCAAGGGGCTACCTGGGGATCATACAGAGCCCTGTTCAGACCTCAGGCAGGTCACTGAAGGTCTCTGGATGTTCTTATAAGTGAAGAGGCCCCTTCCCACCCCCATGCCATTCCTTTCATTCCTTTACCCATGCCTCCTTATCCCAGGCTTGGCAGGGCTCTACCTCAGCCCAGGCAGAAACAGGAAAACCAGGCCTAATTACACACCAGGATTCCTTGGCTACTGTGTCTGTGATCAGCATAGCTGAGAACACTGGGAGCCGCTGAGACCTCAGGCATGACCCTGGGGAAGCAGTATGTCTGAGAATTCCAGAAGCTAAATCAGGGTCTAAGCTTGGGAGTGCTGGCTACTGGCTTATCGCCTGATAGGACAGGTACTTAAAGCCTGGGAGATGAGAATGACTGACACCATTCAAAACACCTAAAGGCCTAAATCAAGCTTTGCTGGAAAGCAACCTTCCTTGGAATGACAGTCATCGTCAGAGCAAGAGGGCCAGCTTTCAGTCACTTTTACCCATGCTCTGACACCACAGTAAACATGGTGATGACCTCTTCTCACCCCCTTCACCACAGGACCCTGCAGGGAGGAGACCTTGAGCAAGGAAGGCAAGAGGAAGTGCTCAAGAGATTCGGGTCAATATTGACCAAGGTACAGGCACTCAGCAGTGGGAACAGGACTCCACAGAGACACTGCCCAGAGCCCAGGATGCTAAGCTATGAGGAAGGAAGCTGAGAGAGGTGTATAGGCATGGGGCGTGGGTTGGCCCTGAGCAGTGTCTATATGTTAGGGTAAACAATGTCTCCATCTGTTGCTCCTTGAGCTGCCTGTGCCTGGTGCTACAGAAAGCCCAGGGGCATGCCACAGGTTCTCATACTTGGGTCCCACCTTTCCTCGGGGTGACAACACAAGCGCGAGAGAAGAGGCACCTCTTGGCCAGTGCTCCCGCATGGCACATCTGGAGCATACCAGGACATCCCTAGGAAAGAATGGGGTGGCCATTTTGCCCAGGCTCCCGAGACTGGGCCACGTCCAGAAGGCTGTGTGGGGATGCGCAGGCTCTTGTGGGGTGCTCAGAGGCAGGGAGGGCCTGTTCCCAGCTGTGCACATGTTGGCTTGAGGGGGAATGGGGTGGTTTATCTAAGATCAGCATCACTGGTACATCCCACAGCATAAAATCTTGTGCCTGTCACCCTCAGCTGGACTCCATGGGATGACATGATGCTAAGCTGCCATGGAAAGAACAGGTGAGGTCAGTATGCCACACTCAATTCTCGTGACAGTCGCCGAAGCACCTGGTCTGCAGGGCCAGGAGGTTGCCACCTTCCCAGAGGGCCCATGCCCCTCACCAACGAGAAGTGGCACTGGACCTGCCATCCGCCCCAGTTTACATAACCTTGTTCTGAGTGAGGAATAGCAGAGAAGGCTCCTCAGTGGCAAGCCTAAAAATAGAGGTGCTGGTTTGGTTTGACACACAGAACAGGATACCTCCTCGAGTACTGGGGCTGCCGTATGGCAGTCCTGGCCCGCAAGCCTAAACTTCACCTTTGTGTGCCTATGGCAGCTGTACCTGAGGTCCAGAGTGGGTACAGGACATGGGAGTGCAGGATGGGGCAGCAGTTTGGAGCAAGGACCCCAGACAAGAATCTGAGTGTGGGGAGCATGGCCAGGCCTTAGGGAGCTTTTGTAAACAGGAAGTCAGCTAGTGGCTTTCAGAAGTGCAAGAGTCCACCACAGCTAGCTGAGACCCTTCCACAGGTCCAGAGCACCTGCTGCCCTGCTGTGGAGAGTCCCAGAATTCAGAATGCTATGTGGATAGTGCCAAGCACCAGGATGGAGCCCCAACCAGAGGAGGTGGGCACATTCCTCACAGCTGCTTTGCACAGTTCCAAATTTGATGTCTGGCCCATACCCAGGACTACCAAAGTCATTTACCTCCAGCATTTCCTGAATCTCAAGAGGGCCAGATGAGGTCTTGCCCCAAAGGATGCCCTGCAAACATTGCCTGGGACAGGCTGAATACATCATCAGCAGAGGGTGCTAAGCCCTTCCCTTCTGCCACAGAAGCAGGCAGGCAGGAGCCAGGCTGAAGGCCCAGGCTGGGTGCTGACAACCACTGCCACTCTGGCACCCTCTCCCCAGGCTAAATTGTCTCCAACACCTGCTGAAAACCTCAACTCACCTAGCTGGTAAAGAGGCAATACAGAACAAAAGGGTGGGTAGGCTAAGGAATCTAGCCCACCCAATGCCTGAAGACTTTTGATGTGACTATATATGAAAAAAGAACCTTAGCAGTGTGATGAGGAGATTCCCTTGGACTATCTTGAGCCAATGCAATCATACGCAATCTTACGAAAAAGAGACAGGGAGATTCCAGAGAGAGAAACAGAGTGAAGAGGGAAGAGAGAGAAGGGGGAGGCGGAAGGAGGGGAGGAATAGAAGGGAGGAGAGGAAGGGAGGGTAGGGGAGGAAGTGACATCATGGAGGCAGAGACTGAGCAACGAGGCCACAAACCCAGGGATGTCAGCAGCCACCAGAAAAGGTAGAGGAGGCTGAGAATTAGTTTGTAGAGCTTCTAGTGGTAGTGTGGTCCCGCCCATAACTTGCTCACACCCCACCAATGCAGGAGTTCTGGCCTGCAAAAATGTGTTCCTTCCAGCCACCACCACATGACAATTAGTTAGAGCAGCCTCAGGGTGCTAATACAGAGAGCACCCCACGCTCCAGCCATCCCCACTGCCCACCTCCACCAACAGCTCATACTGAGAAGCACTGCAGCCTGTGCTGGCTAAAGGGGGCCAGCCTGAGTGTGCTCTGGCCTTGACTGTTACACTTGGAAGGCTGTGGCCAGTCCCTTGGACCCCTTAGGGGTGAAGCGGACATGAAAGCACATTGTGTTGGGGGTCTAAGGGGATCTATTTGGTGAATTGGAAAACTTAGGCACAGGGGAAGCAGGCCTGGGGTCACACTTCATGTGTATGGGAAGACGGCAAATGCACTCAGACTATGTGAGCCAGAAAGGCAGAAGACGCTGGGAGCTTTTGTGGGCTGGTTTTGGTTCTTTTGGTTTGGTTTCTCACAGTGCGGGAGATTGAACCTAGGACCTCAGCTATATTAGGCAGGTATTGTGCCACTCAGACAAGCCCCATGGAACTTGTTTCAAAGGCAAAGAATGCCAGGAAAGGTGTGTGAGGAGGCCGCAGGAACAGTGCTGGGACAGGAACTGTTGAGCCCCACAGACTGCTGGCTCTTGTTGTGCAGGGGTTTCCATGTGGTGCAAGGTAGGTCCAAGTTCAGCTCTCAAAAGCCATCCAACGAGAGCAGGCAGCCCAGGCCACAGCATCTGCCACAGGATAATGAGTGCTGAGGACGTGGACAAGGGGAGCCCCTTGCGTTGTGGTGGAGATGCAAATGGTGTGGCAGCTGTGATTCTGGACGTATGGTAGTTTTCTCTTAACAGAGGGTCTGCTTTCATGGTTGCAGTTATCTGTAGTCAATCAGGGACCAGAAAATATTAAATGGAAAATTCTAGAGATAAACAATTCTTAACTTTTCAATCCCATGCCACACTGAGTGAGGTGAGGCCCCTCGTACCGCCTGCCCCCCAGTACACCTGCACACACTGCTCCCCTCAGTCACTCTGTAGCAGCTCAGTTATCAGACCCGTCATGGAATCACAGCGCTTCCAGTCAAGTAACCTTCAATTTATTTAGAATAGTCCCAAAGTGTAAGACTGGAAATGCTGACAATGTGGATAGGCCAAAGAGAAGCTGCACAGTAAGCTTGTGTTTAAGGAAAAGGTAAAAGTTGTTGGCCTAATAAAGAAAAAAAAAACCTTGCGTCCTGAGGTTGCTAAGATCTACAGTAAGAACAAGTCTCTCAGTGAACCTGTGAAAAAGGAAAAAGAAATGTGTGTCAGTTTCATTGACGCATTTGAACTGCAAATTTATGGCCATGGTGTCAGATAGGTGCTTAGTTAAGAGGGAACGGCATTAAAGTATGGAGTTTGTACTGTCGATGCCGTGTGATTCAGGTACTCAGTGGGGGTATGCATACTCCTTAATTAGGGGAGGCATATTCCCAAAATAGTGGGAAGTAGGGTCTCAAAGTGATACCTGTACACCCATTTTCACACCAACATTACCCCCAGTAGTTAAAACAACAGAGCAACCCAAGTGAAGCAAAATCTGATATGGACATACAACAGTAAAATATGAAGCCTTTAAAGGAAGAAAAAGCCAGGTGTGATAATACACTCATAATCCTAGTTCTGTGGGAGTCTAAGAAAGGAGGATCCCAAGAGTGAGTCCTATCTGGGCAACCTAGCAAGAACTTGTTTTAAAGTTTTTTTTAAAAAGCCTGGTGTGGTGGCACATGTCTATAGTCCTAGCACTCAGGAGGCTGAGGCAGGAGGATCACTGTGAGTTTGAAGCCAGCCTGGGCTACATAGTGAGTTTAAGGCCAACCTGAACTATGTAGTGAGACCCTGCCTCAAAACAAACAAAGGCTGCACTTGTACACTGTGTGTTATATGTATTTATCACAATAAAAATTTGGAAAAAAGAGAACCCTGCCAGAAGGATCCCATCGAGGTCAGTGCCAGCTCCCTGCGGCCAAACAGTAGAGTCTGGGTCATCTGCGGGGATGTGGTCTCTCCCTCTGTTAGTGCCAAAGCCCAGGGCATGCACCTCAAGGTTCTCCAGCACGATAAAGGGCAGAGCCAGCCTCTCCACCAGCCAAGATGCTAAGTGTGTGGGCTCCTGAAACCTCAATCACATGTCACTGGCAGCGCTAGGCCCAGCTTGCTGAAGGGAACTGCTGTACTGCTGGGATGGCACTGGGTGGGCACTGAATAGGGAGGTCAGCCTCTCCACATGCACACCTGGACCTCATGCAGATTGTTTACTTAGGTGTTTGTTGCAGTTGAGGTTATCTCACTGTTGATCTGGTTGGCACTGAATTTTTGGGTGCAAGTGATCTTCCCCCCTCACCTTCCCAAGTGGAAGGGACTACAGGCTTACACCAGCACACCTCGCTGCCTGCGTCACTTTTGGCAGTGGCAAAAGGACCACAGCTTCTGTGATGAAGCACCAGTGGTTTCTACTTACTGACTTTCAGGGCCCAGGAGGCCCAGAGCCCAGGATGGGTAATGCATTTAGGGACAAAGAATATGATGATTTATTCATGAATAGATTTCCACTTGAACTTCTCTTTAAATCAGAGGGAAAAAATCAATAATGACTCATGAATATAGAACAATACATCCAGACTCTGGGTTATTTTTATCTTTAGGCCAATTTAGTTGTAATGTGTGTGTGTGTTTTTTTTTTTTGTTTGTTTTTGTTTTTGTTTTCTGTACAGGATCTCACTACACAGCTTGGACTCATAGTGATCCTCCTGTGTCAGCCTCCCAAGTTCTAGGATTACAGGTGTGCACCACTACACCTGGGGTTCCAGGGCCGGTGTGGCATGCAGTACCAAGGATTGAACCCTAGTCCTTGTACTTGCCAGGCAGGTGCTTAGACCACCATGCTATCTCCCCAGCCCCATAAAACATGTTTTTATAAACTTTTTTATGGAAGAAAAAAATCCACCCACAAAGGAAAAAATACCAGGCCCCCACAAAGTCACAGTGCAGCGAAGCAGTCTCAACTCTTCTTGTAAGCCATTTTAGTTGGCAGCCTGGTGACATTCATAGGACAACTTCTAGAGGTAGATTTCCATGAAAAGAAGCTTGTGGGAGGGGAGTTGGAACCACTCAAGTTCCACTGGAGAGCCCTTGTCTGTAGAATTCATACACCAGCCAGTTTTCCCCAAGTCTTCTCTATTCAGAAAAAAATCACTGAGTTTCAAAACAGCTCTGATTGTTGTCTGGAAAGAATGTGCTGGCTTTCTGTGTGCCTGCTCTGAGAGTGACCGTTAAAAATCAAAATGCTGCTTTGGTCTGAGGAAGGTGCCATGGACCTTTCCAAACTTAAATCTTGTGATTCCCAATACATACAGTAAATTTGGTCCATGTATTATTGACTTTTCTATCTCCTCAGTTTCTACTAAAATTGGCATTTGATGTCTTAAGATGCTTGGCTGGTTTGTGAGAAAGGTCATTGAAGTTCAGATCCCAGAATGCCTCGCTCTGGAATCCACATTGACTCTTATGACCAACTTCTCTGGTTGGACTGGGGCCCTCATCTTAACATATTTTTATTAAGAAAGGCAGATAAAGCACTAGAAGAAGCACTCTTTCCTCATCAGCATTGGTGTTGTCAGATTGGCCAAGAACGCAAGGGTGTCCAAGGAGCCTGTCTTGCATAGGCCTTCCCTCCAAAGGAACAATGGCAAAAAGCAAAATATCAGTATTTTTGTGCTCTAAACCTACACAAGTCTGATACATTGGACCAAAGCTCAGAGTCCTGACTATTGCTCCAAGGGGCTGCTTCCCTGACCCAGTATCTGAGGGAGACAGAAGTCAAAAGGACAGAATCCCTCCACTTCAGGTAACTAGTCTCTGCCTTTTTCTTTCTTCTATAATCTCACTCCATTTAGCATCTAAGAATGTGACCAGTGTGACATGCCAGTCCTCTCAGGGCTGTGTGTCACTGTGTCCTTGGACACAGTGCCCTGAAAAATGCTATGAAAATGCAGCCCCCAGAACTGCAAAGAGGGCGAGTGATGACGTTGGCTGGAAGGACTCACTCATCCAGGGTTCTGGCCTTCTGGTCTTCTAGAGTCAGTCTGCCCTGTGCCCCCAGCCTCTTCTTACCCCACATATATGCCTGGTGAATGCCCAGGCACCCTTCAAGGTACAGAACCAATGTCCCTTTTCTGAGACCTGCCTCCAGCCTGCAGGAAGAGCAGCCTCCCCTTCCTCCAGCCCCAGGGGCCTCCTTTGGCTCTGCTCTGTGGATGTGCACACCCATCTCAATCAAAAAAGTCTTTGAGGTCACAAAGACCTGCTGGTTCCCAGCCACTCCTTGCCTGTTCCTTCCCTGGGCTGGTGTCTGGAGCCTACACTGTTGTAAGGGTGAGGTAGGGTCAGACCACAGAGTGAAAGTGCAGTCCTGAGTAGGCCTTGTGGAGACAAAGCTCAGCCTCAGTTCCTGCTCTTGGGCTCAGGAGATGCTGCCAAAAGGAACCCTCCCAGACCCAGGTGGGATAAGGGGACCAAGCTCCCCAGGGCCCAGCAGCCAGAGCAGGAAGTTGGCTGGGTTTCTATCTGTTAGCTAAGCAAACAACACACTCCTCAGGAAGATAGGGTGAGGTCCCAGCTCCCAGTATATGAATGTTTCTGGGTTGGGTTCTGAAAGCCCGCCTTAGGTCCTGAGAGCATCCTCCAAGTCCTGCTCTGCCATGAAGCTCGCCACCACATTTCTGGTGCTGTCTGTGGCCCTGCTCAGCCACTTTGGTGAGTCCCCCTGGGGTCTTGAGGCAGAAGGCAGCTGCCATCAGAATCTGCTCTTCCTCAGCCCCAGCTCCTCCCCTTGCTGATTCTGACCCTGGAGCCTCCACACCCCAGGCACCAGGTGTTGGTCCTTGCAGCTGCAACTCTAGGGCCTCCTCAGAGGCTCCCGGCTCTCTTTCCTGTGGCCTTCCAAGCCTTCTGGAGTCAGCCTGGCCTGTGCTCCAGTCTCTTCTCTCTCATGCCCTGCTCACCTACACACATGCCATCAGAATTCGGGAACAGTCACGCTTCAAGGTACAGAATGCATTTCCCACTTCTTAGACCAGCCTGCACAATGAGCAGCTTCCCCTTTCTCCAGCCCAGGAGACTCTTTTAGCTTTCGGCAGCCTTTTCATTGGATCCAAGGCTCTGCTTCCATGTCACCTCCCTACATGTGTTCCCCAGCTTCTGCATGGGGCAGCCATCAGGGAGGGAACAGTGCGGGGGGGGGGGCAGGTGGTGAAGGTGCCCACATTCCCCTGGATGCAGATGTGTGATTTCCCCTCCTGTGTGTTGGCAGGTGATGCCTTCTTTGTGAAGTCCCTGGCTGAGACCGCGGCTGAACCCATAGCAGCCCTGGCCCCTGCTGCAGAGGCTGTGGCTGGGGCTGTGCCCAGTCTCCCCCTGCCCTTCAATCCCCTGAGACTCATTCTGGCCAGCCTGGGCATCCCAGTGGAGCACCTCATAGAGGGTTCTAGGAAGTGTGTTGCTGAGCTAGGTCCTGAGGCTGTGAGAGCTGTGAAGATGCTACTGGTAACAGCACCCACCCCACCCCACATGGGTGTCCCTCCCTGACCATCCCAGCCCCAGGCAGGGAGACCTTGTCCCATCCAGTAAGCCCACCACTGGGAGAAGCTCAGAGGCACTGGCTGTGCATGGGGTTGACAATACCTGAACTTCAGGGATCTGTGAAGAATCCAGCACAGGGTATATGGCAAGCAACCAGTGGGCTGTGGCACTGGTCCCAGGGCCCACTCCATCCAGTGGCCATATCCCTCTCCTTGTGCCTTCCTTTCTAGTCTGAATGGCCTTCAACAGTCAGAATGAGGGCCCCACCTCAGCTACCTTTGGGAGCAAAGAGGAGTCCACTCACACTCGGCTTCTCTTCCAGGGAGCCCTGACTCTCTTCGGCTGAGTCAAGACTGGAGTACCCCTGACTCAGGACAAGCTGCTGCCTACCTGCAAGGCTGGAAACCACACTTCCATCCTGACACCCCTACCTTTCCCAATAAACATGGCTGAGCTTTGGAGGTGATGTTTTCTTGCATCAAAGCCAATCCCTGTAGGGGCCGAAAGCACCACAGGCCAGAGTAAGCGGCATGTGTGTGTGTGAGGAAACACGCAAACAAGCACTTGCTACTGGCAGGTGGGGTACAGCCAGTGAATAAGAGTGACAGGAACTGAGCTAGACTGAATGTGGAAACCTGCCTGAGAATTTTCCCCTACGTCTTCTGTAATTTTTAGTGAGGAGAGAATAATTTCCAAATAAATGGAAATTATTTAATCCTTGAAGACTGACAAGAATATACCAAAAAACACCACCCTTTATTTTTATTTTTATAAATTTATTTATTTATTTTTTTTGTGTGTGTGGCCAGCTCAGCCCACCAGGGGGCGGGGCTGGCTGGCATGTGGTGCTGGGGGATTGAACCACGGTCCCTGTGCTTTGCTAAGCTTGTTGTAAGTAGGTGCTTTAGACCACTGAGCCATCTCACCAGCCCGACACCACCCTTTATTGCTAATATCTGAACTTTTTTTTTTTTTTTTTGGCAGAACCAGGGATTGAACTCAGGCCCTTGTGCTTGTCAGGCAAGCGCTTATTCCATTGAGCTATCTCCCCAGCCCTGAACTTTTTTTAAAGAGCCGAATATATTTATTGGGGAAAAAAAAGCTTCTGTACAAGAGAAAGAGACAGAAGGGGGGCCTGAGTGGGTTGGCCTCCTACCTGAACGTTTTTATCCCCATAACGTCTATATTTCTTCTTGGCGTGGAGCAGCATGGATGGCTGCAGGATCCGGCAGCTGAGTTTCTTTCCCTGTGGCTCTGGATGGTCTTGTTCAAACAGCTCAGTGGCTTTGAGTCCTTCTGTTTTACCACAACTCCCAGACTGAGCCCAGTTGCCAGTGGACAGTACCCATAGGATTCAGACAGGTTTCCACTTCAGGGGAAATACCCTGATAAACTTCTTTGTTAAAAAGTGTAATAGGACCAGCAATATAGTTCAGTGGACTAAGCACCTGCTTAGGCAAGTGCAGGGACCACGGTTTGATCCCCTGCACCACATGCCTCACCAGCCCCACCCCCAGGCACACTAAGGTGACCACTGAGTATGGGGGTGGTGGCGCACATCTGTAATCCCAGCCCTGGGAAGGATGAAAATAGGAGGATCACTATAAGTCCGAGAGATGTAGTAAGACCTTGTCCAAATACATTAAGTTTTTTTTATGTTAAAATTTTTTTAAAAGCATAACAACTCCATATTGTGTTTGCTGGGAAAAAGCTTCTCTATTTAACACTAAAACATAGACCTGGCCTTTTTCTGTTCTGCTTGACAATTAACACAAAGGTCAGAGACAAATAAGGCAGGCCTCAGACACCCCCATTTCTACTGTGTCTCTTTTTATGGATTCTACTCTCCATCCTATCGGTGCTACAGAGAGCTTGCTGCTGTTTCCCAGGATGGAATCACTCCTCTGTACACAGCCAAGTGAGCCAGTAGTCCTCTTGTTCCCTGCCATGGCCCTCCCACATGGATGCTGCTTACTGTACAGGATGGCACAGCTTACCCACTCAGTCTTCCTCAACCAGTCTAAGCCTTCTCTAGCTAACGACTGCTGGCACTGAATTTCTATGTCTGCTGCTGCCCATGTAGCCACTCCTGTTCCTCTCAGAGTAGGTGTCCTCACCAACCTTACACGCCATCCCCAGCATGAAACAAGAGGCCCACTCCTACTTGTCCACAAAAAGTCCTTTGCCAGTATCCCTTTTAACAACATGACAAGAGGGACCAGAGCAGGCAGATGTAAGCAGTGGAGCTGGTTCACACCAGGAGCAGAGAGAAATTTTCCACCTTTAAAACAAACACCACTGCTTCTCTATCCATGTGCAAGTTAAGGCAATGAGTATCCTAAAATGAAAGGATTGCAAAATTGAGGCGACTCAAACTCTCCTTCCATTTATACACATTCAAAAAGAAGGCAGTGGGGCTGGGGAGATGGCTCAGTAAGATAAGTGCTTGACTGGCAAACTCAAGGATCTGAGTTCAATCCCCAGTTCTGCCAAAAAAAAAAAAAAAAAAAAAAAAGGCAGGAAGCATGGGAAAATAAAGAGAATGAAGATCAGCAGGGTCAGTTTTGCTTTGGGGCCAACTCTTTGAGGCTGCCTTTCCTACCCTGTAATACAACATTTGCTCTAAACTAAGACTTTTCTTCCAAATGACCTTGCACTGTTCTAACAGGCTGGGCCTGGTGTAGTACCCTCCTTGGCTACCCAGAACCAGGAACATCCATGTACATCTATATTCCGCTGCCCTGACCCAGGCCCTCCCAAAAACTCCCACTGTTCTCCTGAGTCATAGTAAGAAGGGCGACATACTGCTTCCTGCATTGCTCTTTGCTCCACTGACTTACAGGACTGGCAGCCCCGTTCCTTGTGTGACTCTCCTGGAGCCCCAAGACTGCACCGGCATTTCTCTCTGCTGATTTCTGGGATATGGCAGCTCTGGCCCTCCTTAAAGGGACGATGATACAGGGGAAAGATTCCCAACCTGCTGGATATCTGGGGTGATGGAGGAGGTTAAAGAGCAGAATACTTCCTTGAGAGAAAGAAAGCTGCTGTCTGAGACAAAAGTGGTCCCAAGTGGATTACCAAGGAACTTGCCTTTCTAGAAATTTTTATAGAGAAAACACACATCACATAGTTCCAAGGTGTGAAACGTGGGAACTCAAATGGTGGGTATTAGGTGGGACAATACTATGGCCAACCAGTAAGATTATGATTGCTCAAGTAAACTTGGTTAAATCAGGGTCAAATGGGGAGTGGGCGTGAATACAGAACAAAGGGTTTTCCGGAGGGTGTTGGGTTAGTGGCTCTTTTTCAAAATGATTGCTACCTATTTAGAATATCAATCCCTCACATCTATCCCTAGGGAGGTATGTAGGTACATTTGTTTACTTTTTTTGTCTGGCCCTCTGGCCCACAGTGGAAGTGCCTGTCTCTGCCACAGTTCAAAATTATCTTGTCTCCCATACAGGCTCCTTTAAGGGCCTCACCCTGTCTTATTACCTATATTTCTGTCTCAGTTGCCTACAACAATGGGTCCCAAAATGATCAGTTATATAAAATGCTACCCAAGTTTCCTGAGATTGGAGATTGATGGGTGATATAGTTTTCAATGCTGATCCTAAGAAAAGATTTATATTACAGATAACTAAGCTACTTAGAAATATTGTGGGCAGTCAGACAAGGCTGAGCCCTTGAAAGGTCAGTGCACAAGACAGCTATGGCTGGAGGTGCATTTACAGGCTTCAAGAAAAAGCGAGAGGGCTGGGGAGAATAAGCTAAGTAGAATAAGTGCTTGCCTGGCAAGCGCAAGGGCCTAAATTCAATCTCTGGCTCTGCAAAAAAAAAAAAAAAAAAAAAAAAAAAAAAAAAAAAAAAAAAAAGCAAAATGATGAGCCAGCACTTGGGAGGCTGCGGCAGGAGGATCACTGTGAGTTTGAGACTAGCCTCAGCTACAAAGTGAGCTCAAGACCAGCCTGAGCTGCATAGTGAGACCGTTTCAAAAAGACAAACAAAACAAAACAAGACAAAACCCCAGAAACTACACACTCATATATTTCCTGGATAAACAGCAGTGATTTGATAGGTTCTGGCCCAAATTCACTACTTTCATCCCTCTCCCACTAAGTGCGTCTACTACAAATCCAATCTCAAGGTACCACCAGCTCCTCCCTTCCTCTTCGACCATGTACTCTGGGACACTTCCAATCCCATTTGTGCCACCCATGCTAGCCTAGTTCACCTCAAGGATCTCTCAGCCTTCCCTGCATTCCCCAATATCCAATAGCCCCTAAACACCAACGGGGACTCAAGCCTATAATTTTCCATCTCCTTACCAATGGTTTTCTTAGAACTACCCACTTGCCCTCCAATACTCCCATTCTACCTGCACTCAAACCTAATGGTTCCTATCATCTAATTCAAGATCTCAAGGTTATCAATAATGTGGTTACACCTATTCTAACACATGGTTCATAGCCGTTAGCTCAACAAACACAGACACTCAAAAAGGCAAAATACGCTATCGTCAGTAGATCTGGAGTAACAGAGGTAAAGGGGCTTTTAGGGCCCACCTCACCCAGCTTATCCTGGAGCTGCACATGCCTGGCCCCAGTGCCTCCCCTTGGCTCTCACAGGACTCAGGGCACTTTCTAGGGCACCCTTTTTCTTAAGTCCATTTGAGCTCATATTGGCTAGAGTGTAAACACCAAGAACTACAAAATAGATACTCTTTCCCCTCACCAAGGTCATGGTGGAATGACATTCAGATGATGGGCCCTCTTTCTGCTTCACCTTCTGGGTCCTTTAATCATGATGATGACATATTTACTCACAGCATCGTACCTTTTTAAACTTTTTTCAAGCTTTCTTCAAACTCAGATGCAAGCCTTCACTAACGATGAACTTCTCATCCTGGCTGAAACACCTGGCTCTAGCCTCTACATGGGCAGGAACCATCATCCTGTCAATCCTCCCTGCCCCAAAAACAACTCCTTCAGTCAGCAGGAAGCAGTCTAAGAGTCATCACCCCTTCATGACAACTAAAAGATGGAAATGATAGGCTTCAGCCCAAGTAAAAACTGCTGAATTATGGCCCTGATTCAACATGGCTGAATCCCCACTGCCACCCCACCAAAACCCCCCAAAAAACAGCTTATCTTCCCAATGACCACTTCTCCTTCTCCACTCCAGCCCTTGACACAACTTCCTTTCACCTTTCCCATGCATAAAGGAGCCCCAATCTGCTCCTTATATGTCACTTAACTTGCCACTCAAATTCTACCCTTAGCAAGTCCATAAAAATCTCAGCTTTTCATTGTCTCCGGTCAGAGGATTCCCCATCTCCCTCATCCTTTCTGTGTCCTCAGTCAATAAAGGCCCTCTGATCCCCTTCCTTTTACTTCTGCTTCTCTACAAGGAAATAGAAACACTGTATCTCCTCTTCTCTCTCTCTCTCTCTCTCTCTC